AGGTACCTCTGAAGGAAGGCGAAAACATGAACTAGCATTACCCCTCAAGACTTGCATCACAGGTATTCAGGTGTTGTCGGAGGAGCAGCTTTCCGCGCCGGTTTAATGGCTTCCACTAATCTAGTGGATCGAAAGCATATATGGGATCCCAGACACAAAATTGATCGTAGGGAGGCAGGGGACAATGATACGGAGGATGAGCAAGTGGTGATCCCCTTCATCTAGAGCATTAGGGAAGTCTAGATGCCAAAGAAGTTTACTTTACCTCACTTTAAGGTGTACGATGGGTGAACATACCCAAAAAGTCATCTTCGTCAATATAAACAACTGATGTCAATCTCTGAGACTTGGAGATACTAACCACAAGTCGTTATGCCAAGTATTCCCTATGAGCATTGGAGATACTGCCATGAAGTGGTATGAAAGCCTCGCTCTGGAAAGCATCGAGACATGGAGGCAAATTATCGAGTATTTAACGGCCTCCCAAGATGTAGGGAGACCCGACGACTAGGAACACAACCTTTTGAGGTTTGTATCACAGGGACACTAGGCACCTCACCGAAAATTGTAGGTTGTACAAGGCATTTTTGGAGCAATTAGTGCAGGATGGTCATCTCGGTGAGTTTATAGACACTAGTGTCGGGGGTTCTAAAAAGGTCGTGAGGGATGGGTCCAGACGCGGTGACAATTATAGAAGTCATTCATCCCTACACCATTAATTGTTCGACCTACAATTCACTATGGGCCGACCTTCAGAAGGTGGCCCAAGTCATGAAGGTGGAAGGGAAGAAGAGTGAAGAGCAGCCCTCGAAGAAACCTCGCATCGACGTGGACACCATAACCTTCACCAATGTCAGCCTTGCAGGGGTGGTGGTTCCTTATGAAGACACCCTGGTCATCACTCTCCAAATAGATAAATTTGATATGAAGAGGATCCTGATTGACTCTTGGATTTCCTCTGAGGTCATGTACCTTAGCCTTTTCTAGAAGATGGGACTTGCCACCGGGGACCTGAAGCCTATGAAGATGCCCCTTGTGGGATTCAACGGCTCATATGCTCTTCCTTATGGCAAGATAACACTTTCAATGGCAATAGGGACCATCACCACTTTGGTAGAATTCATAGTGATAGTCTCTGATTCTCCATCATGGCGAAAACTTGGTTTCACGCATTGAAAGTTGTGCATTCATCTTACCACCAAAAAATTAAGTTTCCAACACCGAAAGGGGTCATGGAAATTTATGGCAATCAAGCATCATCCAAGAGATATTTTTATGCCATCGTGAAGACTGGCGCTAATGCCAAAACCAAATATCGGGATCCCGAGGCAGTTATGGTCAAATACCAATCATAGCTAGGTCGGGTAGGTGTTGACAAGCCCATGGTTGACCCAACTGATTGTTCTACGGAGGGCTTGGTTAGGGTATACCTTTACGCTGATGACACTGAGAGATTATTCCTGGTTAGGTCTTAGATGGAGGAAACCAAGAGAAATGAGATGGTGACCTTTCTCCAACAAAATTCTGATGCATTTGCCTAGAATCCCACTGAGATGAATGGAGTGAGCCCCAAGGTGAGCTGCCACCAACTACATGCAGATCCAGCCTTCAAGTCGGTGAAGTAAAGGGCTCGAAGATCGGCACCACACCAAGTCCAAGCGGTTGATGAATAGGTCAATCGGTTACTCGAAGTAAGGACCATTAGGGAAGTTCAATTCCCCGAGTGGTTGTCAATTATTGTTTGTGCCAAGAAGAAAAGTGGGAAGTGGCGGGTCTGTGTGTACTTCACAGATCTCAACAAGGCCTGTCCTAAGGATAATTATCCCCTCCAATTCGTCGACACAATGGCAAGTCTTGAGCACATGACCTTTATGGATGCGAGAGTGGGATATCACCTAATCCCGTTGTTTGAAGTTGACCAAGAGAAAACAATCTTTTTTAATTCCCGAGGGATTTATTGTTGTAGGGTGATGTCATTCGGCTTGAAGAATGCGGGTGCCACCCATTAACTTTTGATGAACAAAATTTTTAAGAAAGAGCTTGGCATAACCATGGAGGTCTTCTTCAATGATACTCTCATTAAGAGCAAGGTTAAAGCCGATCATCTGAAGGATCTCGACGTGACTTTTGGCATACTACAGAGATATGGCCTAAGTTGAACAAGGCCAAATGCAAGTTTGGAGTAAGCTTGGGAAAATTTTTGGGTTACCTTGTCACTCATCAGGGGATCAAGGCCAATCCAAACCAAATATAGGCAATGTTGAGGATACGAAGACCAAGAACCGTTAAGGACATTCAAAAACTCACTGGGATGCCGGCAGCCCTCAGCCATTTTATCTCCAAGTCATCAGATAAGTGTAAGCCTTTCTTTTCTATCCTTAAGGGATCGACACTAGGATCTTGTGGAGAAGATTGTGATCAAGCTCTGGAGAGTATCAAAATATATTTACAATCCACACCAACTCTCTCAGTGCTAGTTGTCGATGATGTGTTAAGCCTTTACTTGTTAGTATCAGAATACTTGGTTAGCAAGGCACTTGTGAGAGAGCTAGAGTCGAGTCAAAGTCTGGTATATTATGTCAAAAAGACCCTTCTCGATGCAAAGACGAGGTATCAGCCGATGGAGAAACTTATACTAGCACTGGTCACCTCGACAATGAAACTCAGACATTACTTCTAGGCCTACTCCATTGAGATCCTAACGGACCAACCTATGAGGTCTATTCTTCAACAAGTTGACATATCTAGGAAAGTTGGTAAGTGGGCCATCGAGCTCAGGGTATTCTAGATACAATACAAACCCCTTACATCCGTCAAGGGCCAGGTGCTAGCAAACTTCATTACAGAATTCACTATGCCCGAGGATCTTATGGTGGAAGTCCTTGTGAAACCCATCTTTCCAAATGTCCCCTAGAGTCTACATGTTGATGGATCCTTGAACGCAAGGGGGTAGGAGTGGGTATAGTCTTGTCTAGCACTCAGGGAATCATAATAGAACGAGCTATCCGACTTAGATTCAAAGCATCCAATAACGAAGCCGAGTATAAGGCATTGATTTCAGGAGTAGAAGTGGCATTGTCTATAAAGGCCACATGCTTAGATGTGTTCTATGACTCTGAGCTGATTGTTAATCAAGTGAATGGAGACTTTGAAGCAGGGGATGGTAGGATAAAGGCCTATTACTAGCATGTGCAAACAAGAATGGTGAAATTTGAGAAAATCAAGGTATCTTAGATTTCCAGAGATCATAACAGCCACATCGATGCATTGGCATGCCTAGCCTTGGCATTAGTGTCAGAAATTAGTCAAAGGATAATGATAGAATACATGGGGAGTTCCAGCAAAACAAACTCCAAGGTAAACACCGAGGAGGTTTTTTGGTCAACATCTAGGAGACCCCCTGAGTTGGATAGATCCCATCCTCAGATATCTACTAATTGGGGTGCTCCTAGAAGACACCAAAGTAGTCAAGAAGATAAAGCACAAAGCCCCGAGGTTCTGGGTATCCCCGACGAAAAGTTATACAAGAAATATTTCTCAGGACCATACCTGTTATGCATCCCCAAGAACAAATTCCAATAGCTGCTTTATGAGATACACAAAGGGGTGTGGGCAGCCACACCGATGGGAGTTCCCTTGCACATCGAGCCTTTTCTCAAGGGTACTGGCGGCCATACATGCAGAAGAATGTAAAGAGATATGTGCATAAATGTGATAAATGCAAGACGTTCGCACCTATCATTCACCAGCCAGCAAGTGAACTCAACCCGCTGACATTTCCCTAGCATATTTCCCAATGGGAAATGGACATAGTAGGGCCACTGTCAAGAGCACCATTAAACAAGAAATTTCCCTTGGTGGCTACGAATTATTTTACCAAGTGGATCGAAGTTGAGCTCTTAAGTCACATAAGGGACGTCAATACCAAAAAGTTCGTCTGGAAGAATATTATCACTCGATTTAGGATACCGCAGGCTCTAGTATCAGACAACGGCACCTAATTTAGCAATGGCCCATTTAGAGAATTTTGATCAGGTTTCGAGATCAATAACTATTACTCGACTCTGACATACCCACAGTGCAACAGATAGGCTAAAGTATCCAATAGAACCATGTTGGCAGGGATCAAAAGAAGGTTGGAAAGGGCCAAGGGGAGATGGAAAGAAGAGCTACTTAATGTATTGTGGGCACACAGGACCACCTCGAGGACTTTGACAGGGAAAACACCGTATACCATGGCATATGGGATGGAGGCAGTCATAACTTTAGAGGTGGGGCTCCCGACTCTACGAAGCCAAGCATTTGACTCATGGATGAATGATCAAACCTTAGTCCGAGACCTCGACCTAATGGAGTAAAGATGGGAGGCAGCAACCATAAGATTGGACAAATACTAAGGGGAGCTTTCCAAATTGCATAAAAAGAGGGTCGGAGTAAGGATTTTCCAAGTAAGCGACCTGGTGCTCTGAAAAGTAGTAGGGGCCACTTAGCAACCAACAAATGGTAAACTTGGACCCAATTGGGAAGGCCTGTATAAGGTCGTTATTGTGGGGGGCACAGGGTCTTATATATTTGAGAACATGGAGGGAATAATGTAATCCAACCTTGGAATGTTTCAAATTTAAGGAAATATTTTCATTAACGAAGGTTGCGGAGCACATGAACCTAGTCCCGATGAAACAAGTCAAGCGACAACGAAGCTTCGCTAACAAAATGGGGGTTTTGCGTCCCCCAAGGAAAATGTATAAAATATGGCTAAAACCCACTTAGGGGTACAATCTTCAATACTCTCCTCCATCTTCTAGACCGCCATCCCCACGACCTCATCCACGTCGCGCTCTCGAGAGAGTCATCATTCCCAAGTTCAACAAACATCTTGTCTATCTCGTCAAAGTCGCCAAGACTAGGATGGACTGCAGGAGTTCAGGGACCTTGGGGATTCACAAGGAGAGTCGGGATGGCTGGAGAAAGAAACCTCAAGGGAGATATTACAATNTAGGATGGACTGCAGGAGTTCAGGGACCTTGGGGATTCACAAGGAGAGTCGGGATGGCTGGAGAAAGAAACCTCAAGGGAGATATTACAATGTGCCCCGAGTCGTCGAGGGGTATAGGATTGACAGTCACCCCCGTTCTCGTCCTTGTTGCACCCGTAGATGTCTCATGCTTGGGTGGATCCGTCTCTTGTTTAGGGTCTACCACGTCCTCGAGGACTTTCTAGGTAATGTAAGGGTGCATCGAGAAGAGCTCAAAGTCGGGGTCCACCCCAGTATTTTGGAGGGCATCATCCCATCTAGCCTAGAAAGATTTCTTTTGGCTATCTGTAANAGCTCAAAGTCGGGGTCCACCCCAGTATTTTGGAGGGCATCATCCCATCTAGCCTAGAAAGATTTCTTTTGGCTATCTGTAAAGGCCAGGAGAAATTGGTCCTAGTATTGATTGAGAGCCTCCAGACAGGCGCCCTTCTCCCTCTCCTCAACCTACCGCCAACCCGTGCCCACCTCATTCTCCCTCTCAGCCACTAAGTGTCGGTTTATCTATCCTCGGGTTGGCAGGGTCATCCTTTCGCCCTCGTCATTGCCTATGAGGGGCCCTGACTTGAGGCGGTGGAGGATTTGTCTAGGAGGAGGAGCAATTTGACAACAACGTTGTTGCTGTTACTGTCGTTGACTTTGTTGTTGCTGTTACGGGGTAAGTAGGGCAACAATCCAGGGGACCCCGCCTAAACCAGAGACAGAGGCCCTCTTAGCCACCATAGTGGCCTCCAGGCTCTCAACAATAATGAAAGGAAGATGAGACATCTCGGCTTCAAGATTGGATGCAAAAAGGGTAGCCTCAAAGTCCAAAGTCCCAATCAAGATCTCTTTCTAGGTCTTCCTCCTCATCTCCTAAAGATCGATCTGACCAGAGGGAAGGGTTGAATGGCTCGGGGATTTGTGAAGCGTGTATAACTGAGTCGATATCCCAAGAGTACATGAGCAGCCCAAGAAAATGGATTCTCCGGTTGGTACGCCCACACCTTCATGAGATCGTCGAAGGCAACTGAGGCTTTAAGTAGCTGCATGGCCTCTCTCTTGTAACCCTCTGCACATAAACAAAGAAAATGGTGAGTAGGATGTCTCAGCTTAGAAGAATCAAATGCGACATGGTGGAGACTGACGCACCTAGTCCCCTCATTTCCTTGGGGTAATAGAGGATATCGTACTCAGGTCCATCACCAGTCTCCCATCTTTCACCAAGTATGAGGAGGTCCTAGGTGTAGCCCTTGTCCGAGTCAAACATATGCGTCTCCAAGTACATGGTGGGGGTCTCGACATTTGAGAAAGAATTTTTGGTTGCTGGCTATCCTCACGTCATAACAAAAAATAATTTCGTCGACCCCGAGGTTGATCCCCAACCGAGCATTAAAGGCAATGACACCCATTACCATTGTAAACAGATTTATACAGCACTAGCCAGGGAAAAGATGAAAATGCCTAAGAAACTGAAGAAGAAGGGGTGGAAGAGGGAACCTCATGCTGCCTTCCATAATTGCCTTGGTGTGAAAGGGCATAAGGTCATCAAACCCAACATCTTCCCTATGGAACCAAAGGACAATAATGAGGGTCGAGACGTTGTTAGGGATATTGTAGGTGGACTTAAAAACGTTTAAAGTGGACTCATCCATTTTGGTTTTCTTGATTTTTCTGCCTCTCCTAGCTGCCCTAGGGATTCTAGTTCTAGGAGGTCTAGCCATCGGTGCTTTGCAAGAGATGAAAAAGGGGAAAAGAAGAAGACGAAGGGATGAGGATACTTACAATAATGCAAAAGCTAGCCTCAATCAAGAACTACTCGGGGGATCGAGGGTCTGAGAAAACAAATTGTTTGAAAAGTCTCCTTGTGCCTAACCCATACCCTATTTATAGTAAGCCATGAGGGGGTGGCAATCAAGAAGGTGGTAGTAATAATTGAAATTCAAAAATAGGTGGCAAACACACTTGTAACCACCCCTAAAAGGGAGGAGTGCTGAGGAAACATTGATCCCCCTCATGACAAATGTCCCACGATGCGAGTAAAATGAATGTTGGGGGGCAGTTGACAGGACATTGGCGGTGATCCAATTGTATGCTACTATTTCTGATCCTTCACTTAGCTTAATCATTTCTTTGAACACTTTACAAGTGCTAAAGTGTTATACGAACCCATCATGCGAACTTAATTAAAATAGGCTTCTATCCTCACTAAATTAGCAAAAGCTTAAGTTAATTATATAGTAGTCTTCCTAAGATTTTCAATCATAGGTCATGAGCTAAAATCAGAGTTCTACGTGATGAGTTATGTTCATTTGTTTGTAAAGATACTAAGCCAGTTTGTTTCTAAGTCACAGATTTTTAGTCAACTTCAAACAGATGCCACTTTTCACATAAATAGAATTAGGTTTTGTACCATATATAGCTAGAAAGATCTATGAGTCTATGTTCTAACAAAAAAAAAAACGTTGCACAAATCCGAATTTTTTAAAGAGATTTATCTTTGTTTTTCCACCGACTACCCAAGTTGTCTGTCAAAACCGAGATTAACCACCAACTTCTTAACAAAATTTCTAGCATTACTAAACAAATATTAAAGCTTCAATTCTTATGTTTCAACTTCCTAAAAAATCTCAATAGTTGTGAAATTTCATAGAAAGTGAAAGACTTACAAGAATTAAACTTTAGCCTTAAATAAAAAATTTATTGCTCTTTATCCAACTAATAAGTAACTACATCATTCATAACGTCATACTTGATGCCATCTTTCATAACCACAATCAAATTCCAAATTTAATTTAGATGTCTGGATACATGGGAATAACTTCTACTTACAACAAAGGAACAAACCTAAAAGATTCTTACCAATTAAAAATTATCCAAGGTGGTAGGTTAGTCTCCTCTGCCCTTCTTGATTTCTTTTTTTTTTTTTTGTCACACATATCGCTAAATTTTCGTCTCTGACTAATTTACACCTAATCACTTTTTCATCTCATAATTTAACCCTATATATCATTATTAGAAATTAAATTTTTAACCCCCAACAATCATAAAATGCTATGCAATGCATGTCAAGGTTTCACACCATGTCTCTGACTCCCGATCACAAGTGAGAAAGATACTGATCCATCAACACTTATTAAAATGGCATCGTTTGACATATCTCTTTTTGAGCCAATTTTTCACTGTGCGAACTTCATAGAACGTTGTCGTTTCAAACGAATAGCACATGGTGTTGTTACTCTCTAACTACAGAGGAGCTGCACCCGAATAGCACAACCGTCTAAAGCTCAAAATCTCTACGATAAGAGGTTCTTGCAATCAATGATCTTTATTTTATCGAATCAAAAACTTTTTTGTAGTTGTTATATGATTTAGTTCTATAATCATCAGTGATGGAGCCACTATATGTGCCCACCATTTTAAATTATTATTTAAACATATTTAGTTGTGTCCACATTATTATTGTGTTCTTGTGATTTCGATAGGGATAGACCTCTTACCTACATGATTATTAATTTTTATAGTAATTCTATTGTTACTTAATTTAAGGACCAAATATATCATGACATTAAACCTAATAGTGAGCAGTAATATTAAGTAAAATTTATTATCCATCCAATGACCAAAATTCATTAGCTCTCCACTAATTAAATCCCAAATTAAATGCAACTAACATTATTCTTAACTTGTAGACATGTTTCGAATGTGTTCAAATAAATTTTGGACATAATAGTGGTTATTTTATAATTTTTTAAAAATTCTTAGATTATTTTGTTATTGTACATAAATTGAGTGTCGTTATGTAATAAATTACAGGGTCATAAATAGAAAATTGTTGATCTAATTTTGTATATAGAAAAAAAAAATTGTTGATGACATTGATTTGTAATGCTTTCAAATGATAAAAACTTATCAAGATCAATTATAAATTATAATAATTAATCACATTCTTCGTAAGAAGTTATGGTTAAATTTTTTTTGTTGTACACGTTATCTATATCAGTTTTTAATCCTTTATGTTCAAACTTTTAAGAATTAAATATGATTTCAGTAAATATGAATTTACAAACTTTTGCGGTCAATTGACCAAAAATTAAAATTTACTAATATGCCCACCCTACATTAATTTTTTGGCTCCATCCTCGACAATCATTACGTGTAATACATAATAATTAGTCATTTCAAGAAGTGTACACAAAGGATAAGGACAAATCCAACATTTATTTGTGTCAATCCATGCAATCGTTACTACAAAGTGTGGGAACGGACATATATATTCATGAATAATGCTATACAAATGAATTTGCAACTCTATATTCAATCAAAAATATTTTGATCAGCATTTGGTAAGTCCAAAAGTGATTTAGAGCTACCAACTCATTTAATAAAAATATTTTTTGATAAAAGTTTTGGTATGCATAACATTTCTCTAGATTCATAGTTTAATCCTAGATGTCATTTTCATGACTTGGAACTTGTGGCCATCAAATTTTTCTAAAGTAATCCAATGGTGTTCCTGCTTTTTTCTTATCACATACCTATCTAAACATTGTTGTTTCTTTCATGTGTTAGGATTGCCCAAAAGTCTGCCTAGTCTTTATATGTAGATAAAGTTCATGCAAGTAACACTTAGATTTGTTCTTTGCCGAAAACGTACTTTTCGAGAACATTGGGATAATCTGATTTTTTTTTTCTCGTATGCCTACACATTATGCAGAGGTTCTTTAATTAATCAAGTTCAATCATCATCTTTCAATCTCACAACACTCTACTACATTTCAGAGGTTCGGGTTTTAAATTAATGGAGAATGTTTGATATTAATGCACATTGAAGATATTAGGTCAAATGGCACTTTATCCCCTGAAAGATTGAAAAATTTTCAATTTGCCATCAAAGATTGATTGTNCATTGAAGATATTAGGTCAAATGGCACTTTATCCCCTGAAAGATTGAAAAATTTTCAATTTGCCATCAAAGATTGATTGTTTCAAATTACACTCTCAATGTTATTATTTGGTGACAATGTGGCCCTAGGTCTGATGGACTTTGAACTTGCTNCTGAAAGATTGAAAAATTTTCAATTTGCCATCAAAGATTGATTGTTTCAAATTACACTCTCAATGTTATTATTTGGTGACAATGTGGCCCTAGGTCTGACGGACGTTGAACTTGTTGTTAACCCAAACTATCACGTGAGATGCACGTGATAACCAGAAGGGCCTTCATGTAAAAACACCATAGACCCAAAACCCCTTTTTATTCTGGCGCCATAGCAGATGACTTGATCTTGCTCTAATGCATTCCATACCAACGATAAGAAGGAAGGAGCAAAAGAACAGAGGAGAAAGAATGGAGAACTTATGTTACTACGGTAAGAGAGCATCAGTGAAAACTTCATGGACAGAGTTAAATTCTGGGAGGTGATTTCTTTACTGCGCTAATTGTGAGTTTTAATGTTAGGTGAAACTCACATTCAATTCAATAGTTGCATTNTGCATTCCATACCAACGATAAGAAGGAAGGAGCAAAAGAACAGAGGAGAAAGAATGAAGAACTTATGTTACTACGGTAAGAGAGCATCAGTGAAAACTTTATGGACAGAATTAAATTCTAGGAGGTGATTTCTTTACTGCACTAATTGTGAGTTTTAATGGTAGGTGAAACTCACATTCAATTCAATAGTTGCATTAAATTAGATTCTCAAATTAGATCTAAATAATATTTTTCAATCGGTAGGCTACCTATGTCACAATAATGTAATTTGGGGGTGTTTGGCAAAGTCTTGGTGGATTGGACTGGTTTGTATTTTTAATCCAAACCTATTCAATGAAATCTCAATAACTCGGACAAAATGAAGAATAAAAATAAATGATTTTATGCAATACTTGGTTTGGAAAGTAATTTATGAAATTGTGGGGCCCATGGACAAACTATTATGTTTTTGGTTAAATCTCCTAACTTTCATATTAACTTACCATTTTAGCCTTCAATCCTACCCAAACCAATCTCAAAATTGACTTTTCAATTCTTATGCTCCATCTTGGAATGTCATTTTAAGTGCAAATTTGTGACAAAGGGCAAACACCGAAATTAATTAGGTTCCACTACTTTTAAATTTGGTTTGGGTTGTAGATCAAAATATTTTGTGTAAAATGAATTGAAATAAAATAGTAAATAAATGGAAGATCCGAGATTAAATAAACATAGTTCATTAACACAAGTTGCCTTATACAAAAATACCCAAAAATAAGGCAGCCTAGGTTAGAAGTACAAGTAAAACATATGATCATAGCAACCATTGCCTTGAACTTTTGTACAAAATGAATGCAACCTTATAGGATAATTAAGCTGACGCTTGCCACAAGCACACACGGTATCATGTGTCTAAACAACCAAAATGGATCATGTCAATTATCTAATTCGATACATATATACACTAATACATATGAATAATTATATTAATTGCCAAAATGTGGTCATAGCGATCGTGGAAGAAGTCAATCATCGATGACTATAACATCTACTGCCCTGGGATAATTAACCGATGGGGATGAACCAACACTTTCTCGGTCCTAATTGCTTCAACTCCCACCATCTCTTTTGAAAATACCCCCAAAATACTAATAGTTTGGGCACGGGGCTAGACAATTATTCGCGGCAAACACATCTTCCTACATGTGTAATGTACAAGCATGTGTTAAAGCAAGTGTAAAACACAATAACCTTCAGAATTTTAATGTACCCTAGAAAGCTACAAGCAGTCAATCCAGTTAGTAAAACTAAATATGCCACAAAGCAAACATAACATGAACACCAAATGTTAATATTGCAATTTTCACCAGTATCGAACATGTATTTGTATACATATTGGTTGTGACTATGTCCCAGTAGCATCGTGTAGGGGGGGTGGGGGTGTGACTACACACAATGGTGTTGTTGTGACTGTTTTTTTTTTCTATCCGACTACTAGGTACGAGATGAATTGCCTCATAAACCTCCAACGACACACGCATAGACAGAGAGGGACACAGAAGAGAGGTGTTTGTGTGTGTGTGTGTGTGTGTGTGTGTGTCTCTTTGTGAGGTTGTCTTAATTTTTTATTTTACTATGTTCTGGGTAGAACATTATACAGAGAGAGGCAGAGAAGAGGTATACAGGCAGAGACAAAGACACATAGACAAGAAGCAATAGACTAAGAGAGAGCGAGAGAGATAGGTAGTCCATGTAAAACAATATTATCCAAACAATATTCCTTATCAATTGTAAGATCATCACAACCGTTTCACTTTCCCCTGCACCATGAAACCATCGATTTAGCTCTCCTCCGTTTTAACCTTTCAATTACCCTCCCCACTTCTTTGTCTGACCAGTGAAGAATTGCCCAAAAAATTCAAGGCTTGCACTAATCTAGGGTAGGCTAACCTTCAAAGCAACTAGTTCAAGCCTACCCAAGATATGACCACATAACGATAGTGAGAGAGCAACAGAGAGAGTGAGAGAGCAACAGACCGATGGCCCAACACCATACAGACACAAACCAATACACCAACAGAGACACAAAGAGAGAGAAAGAGAACAACACACTATTTGCGATAAACACAGACACATACAAACAAATGAGAGACCGATACAGAGAGAGAGCATACCTTGACAATGGAGATCAGATTTGCACCGTTCCAAAAGGGGGGACCAATGAAATGGAGGGAAAAGTAATAAACAAACCTTACCACTTTCTTTCGGGGGTGTTTAAGTAAATTGTATTCCTATCATGTCGGTTGTATACCAATCTCAAAGTATAGGTGGGTTTAATTGATCTATCAGATAATTGGACACGAGTACCTTTTTCAAAACTCATTTAGTTTTAAGTACCACTTCTAAAATTATTCTCCTTTAAGTCCTTTTTTTTAATCAAATAGTTGTCAATAAGTACACATTTTAAAACATTTTTAAATTCTTTCTAAAATGTATTTCATAATTACCCCTACTATAAATAGTGCATACCTACTTGAATGTAAGACTTTCAAGATTCCTTTTGATATTTGTGTATCATTTGAATTTTAAAATTTTATATATAAATATACACACACACACATATATATATGTATACACACACACACACACACATATATATATATACACACACACACATAATACAGTGACATCAAACAGTGACACGCTCAACAAAAATATTTGTGTTACTGTTTGATTTTACTATTTTGTTGTTGAATGTGTTACTATTTGGTGTTACTATTTTTTTTGTTGAGTGTGGTACAGTTTGATATTACTTTTTTTTTGTTGAACGTGTCACTGTTTGATGTTACTATTGTTTTGTTGAGCGTGTCACTGTTTGATGTTATTATTTTTTTGTTGAGCATATCACTGTTTGATATCACTGTATTATGTGTGTGTGTGTGTGAAATTTTAAAATTCAAATAATACACAAATATCAAAAAAAATCTTAAAAGTCTCACATTAGGTATTCACTATTTATAGTAGGAGTAAAAATGTTTTTATGACTTTTTTTTAGCATATGTATTTCTTACTCGATTATTTTAAAAAGTGTATTTTTATCCTATTAAATTTTTTGAGAGGTACCGACCTCCCTAAACCTCTTAATTTATTCACTTCTGAGGGGATAACTGACCTCAAAACTACGGACCGATTTTTTTAAACCCAACAATTGTCCAGCCACAATATGGGCTAGGATAAATGGCTCCTACAATTTTTTATCCAATCAACTTTTGTTATCCTGATTTATCGATCAGGCCAAACACACCCTTTCTCTATGAGTAATACTACATAGACTTAAAAATTAGATTTAAAAATTAGACTTGATAATCTCAATCATTGAATAGTTAGTGAATTTCAATAAATACTGAAACCCACAGTGAAATTAATTATTAAAATTATCAAATCTAATTTTTAAGTCTAAGTAGCATTAATCTTTCCGTATTCCCCGGAAACAAAGAGCCGCTGAAAAAACTCGAGTTCAGACCCTGTTTTAACTATAATAACTACCAATGTCCTCCCGGGTATGTTCACATACACACTCTCCCCTGTCTCTACCCCTACACTCTTCACTCTCTCTCTCTTCCGTCCAAACCCAACCACCACCACCTCTCCAAAACCACACTCCTCAACTCACCAGCATCTCTTGTACCTCTTGTACGACAACCACTCTCATCTCCACCAGAACCCCATCAAAACCCATATCAGAAACACTATCTAAAGCCTCATGGATCGAAGCTCTTCGATCCCAAACCCGTTCAAACCATTTTTGTGAAGCCGTTTCTACATACATAGAAATGACAGCAGCGGGCATTCAACCGGACAACTTCGCTTTCCCGGTAGTTGCGAAGGCCATTACCGGCCTTCAAGACCTGAATGCTGGAAAACAGATTCACGGGTCTGTAATCAAACTTGGGTATGAGTCATCTTCGGTGGCTGTGGCTAATACCCTTCTCAATTTATATGGAAAGTGTGGAGATATTTTTATGTTTTCAAAGTGTTCGAAAGAATTCCTCAAAAAGACCAAGTTTCTTGGAATTCAATGATAAACGCATTGTTTCGGTTTGAGGAGTGGGAATTGGCATTAGAGGGATTTCGAGCGATGCAACTGGAGAGAATAGAGCCTAGTTCTTTCACCTTGGTGAGTGTTGCGCTTGCTTGTTCTAATTTAAATAAGCGGGACGGGTTGAACCTTGGGAAGCAAGTCCATGGGTATAGTTTGAGAGTAGGCGATAATAAAACATTTACTAACAATGCTTTGATGGCTATGTATGCCAAACTAGGTAGAGTTTATGATTCAAAAGCTATTTTTGAGTTGTTTGCAAATCGTGATATGGTTTCTTGGAATACCATTATAAGCTCCTTCTCTCAGAATGATCAGTTTTATGGGGCATTGACATTCTTTCAACTTATGGTTTTTGAGGGAAATAAACCGGATGGAGTTACAATGGCTAGTGTTCTCCCAGCATGCTCGCATTTGGAGTTGTTAGACATTGGGAAGGAAATTCATGCCTATGCTTTGAGAAATGACGATTTAATTGGAAATTCTTTCGTGGGTAGTGCTTTGGTTGACATGTATTGCAATTGTTGACGGGTTGAAAGTGGCCGTCGAGTTTTTGATGATGTCTTAGATAAGAAACTTGGTCTTTGGAATGCTATGCTTGCTGGTTATACACAAAATGGGCTTTATGAGAAGGCCTTAGCACTCTTTATGGAAATGGTGGAGGTCTCAGGACTATTTCCAACTCCCACTTCAATGGCAAGTGTCTTGTCAGCTTGTGTTCACTGCGAGGCATTTGCTGATAAACAAATTATGCATGGGTATGTAGTGAAATTGGGTTTTGGGATGGACAGGTATGTGAAAAATGCACTTATGGACATGTACTCTAGGATGGGGAAAACAGATATTTCAAGGTATATATTTGACAGCATGGAGAGTAGAGATATAGTTTCATGGAATACAATGATCACAGGTTATGTAGTTTGTGGATCCCATGAAGATGCCCTTGCTCTTCTACATGATATGCAACAATTAGAAGGGAAGAATGATAATTATGAGGATGAAGAAAGAGTTCCTTACAGACCAAATTCAATATCGCTCATGACAATCCTTCCTGGTTGTGCTTCCCTGGCAGCACTAGCAAAGGGAAGAGAGATCCATGCTTACGCGATTAGAAATGCATTGGAGTCTGATGTTGCTGTTGGAAGTGCATTGGTTGACATGTATGCGAAATGTGGTTGCCTGAACTTATCTAGGAGAGTTTTTGATGGTATGCCGTCCAAAAATGTGATTACATGGAATGTTATCATAATGTCTTATGGAATGCATGGCAGAGGAAAGGTAGCCTTAGAACTTTTTAAGAATATGGTGGCAGAAGGAGCACAAGGGGGGGAAGTTAAACCTAATGAGGTTACATTTATTGCAATTTTTGCGGCATGTAGCCACTCTGGGCTGGTCAATGACGGCCGAAACTTGTTCCACAAAATGAAAGATGACCATGGTATTGGACCTACAGCTGATCACTATGCTTGTGTTGTCGATTTGCTTGGTCAAGCAGATTATCTGGAGGAAGCATATCAACTTGTCAATGAGATGCCTCCAGATTTTGACAAAGTCGGTGCTGGGAGTAGTTTTCTTGGTGCTTGCCGGATTCACCAAAATGTAGAACTTGGGGAAATCGCAGCCAATAATCTCCTTCAATTGGAGCCAGATGTGGCTAGCCACTATGTTCTACTCTCCAATATCTACTCCTCTGCTGGGCTATGGGAAAGAGCAATGGAGGTTCGGAAGAACATGAAGGAAATGCGGGTACAAAAAGAACCTGGTTGCAGTTGGATTGAGTTCGGTGATGTGGTACACAAGTTCATGGCTGGGGATGTCTCACATCCACAAAGTGAGCAGCTTCATGGTTTTCTTGAGAGTTTGTCTGAGAGGTTGAAAAAAGAGGGTTATGTGCCTGATACTTCCTGTGTTCTTCATAATGTCGGTGAGGAAGAAAAGGAGAATCTGCTATGTGGACACAGCGAGAGACTAGCAATTGCATTTGGTATCCTCAATACCCCTCCTGGTACTACCATTCGGATAGCCAAGAACCTCAGAGTTTGTAACGACTGTCATGCTGCTACTAAATTCATCTCAAAGATTATGGAGAGGGAGATCATTGTGAGGGATGTTCGGAGATTCCATCATTTCATAGATGGAACTTGTTCATGTGGGGATTATTGGTGAGAAAGTGCCCAACCCTTCCTTGAAATTCATTTACAGATATACCTACAGTCTTTTTGCTACCCTACCCCATTGTTGTTCATTGATTGTATTATTAAGAATGTTAAATTATCAATCGTAACTTCTGAGGCATGAAAGAAATATTACATGATGCAGAGGCTTTAAACGTTAAAAATCTTGCTGCTGCTCTGTTGTCGATAGTTAGTTACATATCATTCCACCTGCAAAGAATCAAATATTTATCTGGAAAATTTCACTGGTTAATTTATTGTTGGAAGAAAAAAGAAAGGGTATTATTGAAGGCATTTTCTTTCCTTATCCACTCCTACAAATATTTGTGGGATTGCATTGAGGAAAGTGAAGATTCCATTGTTCCCTGAGAGACTTTCAAATGGGGATGAAATTACCACTCAACTTGGTGAGATGAAAGCGAAAGATGGTTATTTAGGATCGATAATCTTGTCATTTTAGGATTCATCCCCCTCTTTTAAGTCATAACTTAACCCCACTGAGTTGTAACGGGTTTGTTTTAATTATTAACTTAGCCCCCATTTACATGTAACTTACAGTAGGCTACCTCCTTTGTTGCCATATTATTACACAATGATAAACTTCTGCTAGAGCAGCGTTGTGCAAGATGTTTTTAGGAGATATCATGTGAAGAACTCTGCTTAATAGCTTTTCTGCTTCCAGTGATATAAAACATGCATATTCTACTTCATAAGTTGAATCTTGTTACTGATTCTAACTTGGGAATCTTTGGCTTATTAAGTTCTTCAATCCGATTATTATTATTATTATTTGGTTATTCACTGTTGTCGTTAGCAAATTAATGATTTTTAGATTCAAGATGCCTGGGAGCAAATTCTCAGATATCCCTTTCGTTATTACTTTTTTATTTATGTCAAAGACTGGAAGTTGAAAACATCATTTTTTTTTTTCATTCTTTTCTTATGAGGTCGTGTACAACAACATCAACCGTACAAAGTGAATATACATATTCATTCTTCGCAAGCCATAGTTTATACTTGAAGAGCTTTGCAAAAATTGAACTCAAAACTTGATCCTCTAGCTGTGATAAGGCCTATGTAGCAGTTATATTTCCTATACCTAAAAAAAGGAACGATCCATCGGAGGCATGATTGATCTTTGATAATTGCCCAGAACGCGCTAATCTCAATCCATTCCAAGGCAAGGACTCAAGAATTCCCTAACCAAACTCAACAAACTATTCATATGTTATTGAATAGAAATAAGGAATATCAATCTTCAATAATTTTGTCAGCATCCAATTGTTCTCTAATGGCCCAATGCAAAATATCACAATGTGATACAAAAATCTATTCAAAAAGATCTCCATAACAGTAGCAAAAAAAATATGTTTTTTTAGTGAGATTATATGGGCAAATGCATCCTTAAATAAATATGTAGATATAAACCATCTTATACAGTCAAAAAAACCAAGACAAAGGCTTTCATCTTGCTACTTGTAGGTTTGAATCCTTCATATGAAACTGTTCCTTTTTCTTTTTTTTTCTGACAGGAATCATAAGAAAGACCCAGTTTTTTTTTTTTTTTTTTTGTAAACTAGGAAGACCCAATTGAGGGGACATGTACTTGACGTCTCCTTTGCTATCAGTTAATATGTCATTAGTTGCATAGCTCTCTCTCTCTCTCTCTCTCTCTCGCACACATCTTGACGATATTTCATTCCGTCATCGCCTTGTAGGTTTTGGAGCAGATGAGTATTGTTCTACATGTTTGTTGAGACATGCAAGAATGTTTTATTTTAACCTCTTAAACTGCTAACAAGTTCCATACTTGGGCAAAAAGTGAACGGGACACCACTGTACAGCTAGTAAAGATCAAAATCAGGTCCCGGAAATGGCTAGGCTGCCTCCTCGACCGGCCTAGCCCTAGTTTTTCAATACAGTTTCTCATTTAACCCCAGGGATAGCTCAGATGGCCACGAGCCCATCTGTCATCAGCCGGAGATGTCGAGTCTTGAGTATCCTCTCAGGACCATTCCCTAAACCCAGTGAACATAGGAAAAAGAATTGCATGAGCCCAATAGATCAGATGTATGATCCCAAAATTTAAAAGTTGAAGCATTTTAATATTTAAACTTTGAAACAACCATTTGAAAAACAAGTTCTGATTCCTCCCCCCGCTGCAATCATTGACCAATAGAAATTCAGTACCAGCAGAGCAAGACCAGCAGAGCAAGAGTATGTCTTAAATAAAACTCCATGGGCCATGGAATGACTAGCTCTCGCCAACCCCAGGACCCTAGCAAATGCTCAAACCCCGCAAGTTCTCTCGCTGACGAGCCGGTCAGTGACATATAAATGTGCCATTCATATATTGTATGAGCTTGAGCACGAAAACAGGAAGATGTTTGCATGCCAGCGGATGGTTAACTATGCCAATGTACGTCATATCATTTGCAAACAACCACATCTGTGTTTTCTGATAGATGGCAGAAAGGAAAAAAAGAAGAAAGATAAAAGAAATGTTACCGATCAAATCACAAGCATTCAATTCAGGGTTGTTAAAGCCTTGTCCTACAAAAACCAGCTCGTAATCCAATTTCAGACCATGGACAGAGAAAATCTCTATTTGTTACGCTTTGCAGCACGCTTTCCTTGGCCCTTCTTCGGTGGTCCCTTTCCACGACGCTTCAACATTTCAAGCTTGTTTAAGCGCCTGCCAAAGAACATACAATACAGAGACAGGTAATCATTTTAGATCAGTATGCATCATTCACATGCATGCATATAAATGGAGTTTTCTGTAGAATTCTACATAAGCAGTATCTCCACTTTACCACAGACGATAGAAGACAAACTATAACTACAGCAAAAAACTTGTTGCTCAAAATCTTTCTAAACCATCAGATGAGTGATAGATCAATTCATTCCCTTTATCTTCCTATTTTTATCTCAAAAAAATCTCCAAAATCATTCCTCTCCCAAACTCTCACTTAAATGCAAGAGTAACGATGACTTGCTGGAAGTATAGCTCCAGAGAGAGAGAAAGACAACAAAGATTACTGAATAATGGGGAGGGGCCTCCAACAAAGATACAAGACAAGGCCACCAAAGTGGGAGAGAAAGAGGAAGAGAAAGAAAGACTATTGTCTCTACGACAAGAGGAAAGAAGCAAAATCTCAGAGAAGGAATTAGATATTTCTTGTGGTAGACACTTGGGAACGGTGTGTGCAGAACTCGATGGTAGAAGACAACAGAATACTTTCGTCAGACTAATTGGTAAAGCAGCCATGCTTCATGACATGTTTACTAATCTAGTTTATTCTTGGATAATATCCTCTGTGTTCCTCCTCACAACACTACATTTCTGCCATTTCTGCCTGTGTTGATTTCAGCAGGCTAAATAATTTAGATGCCTGGTTGTCTGCCAGTAAATGATGGGCTAACAGCAAGAGACCCTAATCCTATCCATTAAGGCAAGATTTAGTTCCATGCCTTCTGAACAGCTACCACAAGCCTATGCCACCATCTCTAACTTGATAAATCCTATTATGCAGAGTTACAACTTGGTTCCATGCTTTTTGTGCTTATGCAAACTGCAAACAGACTATACCACCAACTCTAGCACTGACATGTAGTAGATATACCACATAGTAGAAGGACTAGAATAAAATAACAGGATATGATATCCCCCCCCCAAAAAAAAAAAAAACCTGCAAAGAAAATGAAACTAGAAGGTAAAAAGTACTTGTAGTGACAAGTGCAAATCTAACACAAAGTAGAAAGGTGTAACATCTGGTCCAAATAAATATTTAAATTAAATAATGGTAAATTTTATTGGAAGAAATCCATAATTGATAAAATATAACATTCATTTTGAAGGTCTTAAACATAAATTATAAAAATTTAAAGGTTAGTAGAATTAAACACAAAATTATTGATGAGTGGTGGACAAGTGTCATGATTATTTGGTTTTGTTTTACCTAATTGACAAGTGAGTGTTTGAGTCATCATGTAGTGGTGATTGGTGTGCATTGGGTGCCAAGACACTTGGGCACCAAGTGTTTTGTCTATATAAATAACACTTGTTTCTAAAAGGTGGGAAGCCTTAAGTAAGACTTGTATGTGTTTCTAAAAGGTGGGAAGCCTCAAGTAAGACTTGTGTGTGTTTATGTATAAAGAAGGTAGAAAAGAAAAGATAAGAGTGGTGGTTGCAAGAGGAGAAAGAGAAAAAATAAACAAGAAAAAGTAACACTTCACTTTGATGATTTGAGCTTAGATTGCCATCAAATTCGAGGATTATGGTCAAAATACCTTGAAGTTCATATCTATCGGCATTGATTGATGATCTGAAGTATGGAGAAGTATACAATATGCACTGTCTTGAATCTCTTGCAAAGAGTAGTTCCTTGGTTATTTTTGATTTGTATTCTATTTGATTTGAGCTATAATTCTAAAAGTCCGATTTAATTTATTTAAGTATGTTGAGTATGAGTACATTGATCATATTTGTGTGGATTGGGAGCTAGAACCTAGTAGCCACTAGTCCAATGCATGGCCAAACCAAGAGCCCCATGAGATTGGTTTGAGGTGGGGTGATTGGTAAGGTGTCAGGTCTATGTTCAAGTCTCGCTTGGCTTGTGATATGTGAAGTATGTGTTAACTGACTACTTGAGATATTTGATGATTACGTGCTCCTAGAGTTATTCAGTATTTGATTGTTTGTATATTTTTCGTTAAGCATATTTTTTTCTGGTGTATTGTATACTTCCCCACTTACATTTTTTAAGTTGATTTTGAAGAAGAGATNGCTCCTAGAGTTATTCAGTATTTGATTGTTTGTATATTTTTCGTTAAGCATATTTTTTTCTGGTGTATTGTATACTTCCCCACTTACATTTTTTAAGTTGATTTTGAAGAAGAGATCGAGATTAAAGTATTGGAAGAATTGGAGACTGAATTACCATTGTAATTTTATAGAGGTTATTATAAGTAACTAAATTGTNAGAGATTAAAGTATTGGAAGAATCAGAGTTGGCAAATATTGATATTCTTTTTGTAATATTCAATTTTGGGAGATCTATTTGTATTTGGAGACTGAATTACCATTGTAATTTTATAGAGGTTATTATAAGTAACTAAATTGTAATGACTATAAAAACTTTGATCAAATAAAGAAGAGTGAAAAGAGAAAGAGAAAATATTATTATTGCTAAACAAGTATGTAATACTCCTTAACCTAGAATACACAATATAGGTCTTTATATAGTAGGGCAACAAAACAATATAAAATGCCTAAACTATCCAGAATATAAATACTCTAANCGAAAAGAGAAAGAAAAAATATTATTATTGCTAAACAAGTATGTAATACTCCGTAACCTAGAATACACAATATAGGTCTTTATATAGTAGGGCAACAAAACAATATAAAATGCCTAAACTATCCAGAATATAAATACTCTAACATCCCCCCTCAAACTCATGATGTGGTAACATCAAACATCAAAAGTTTGCTAAGAAGAAAACAGAAGCCCGCGATTGTGCGAGATTTCGTAAAGAAACGATCAGCAAATAGCTAACACAACCAAACTATCTCTGCTGTCACGAAGGTCATAGCATGATACTCAGTTTCAACAAATGATCGAGCCATAACAATTTGTTTCATACTTTTTCATGAAATAAGAGAATCACCAAAGAATAGATAGAAACCAGTAGTGGACTTGCAAAATTCAGAGAGTCACCAGCTCAGTCCACATCAGAGTAAGCACGAAGTTCCAGAGACTTAGAGGAAGAAAATAATAAACTCAACAAAAACTCTAAATGTAGGCTCAATNAATGATCGAGCCATAACAATTTGTTTCATACTTTTTCATGAAATAAGAGAATCACCAAAGAATAGATAGAAACTAGTAGTGGACTTGCAAAATTCAGAGAGTCACCAGCTCAGTCCACATCAGAGTAAGCACGAAGTTCTAGAGACTTAGAGGAAGAAAATAATAAACTCAACAAAAACTCTAAATGTAGGCTCAATAAATTAAGGCTCAAATAGCAATGAAGGGTCCAACAGAAAACCAAAGCCCAATAAAAACCACCAGCAACAATACCCAATAAAACAAAGCCTAACAAAGAAAAGAAGAAAAATTAAACCAGCAACCCAACAAAAAGAAGCTCAAATCAACAAACCCAAAAGATTGGGGTTGCCCAACAAAAACCACCAGTAATAATGCCCAACAAAACAAAGCCCAACAAAAGAAAGAAGAAAAGTCAAATTAGCAGCCCAACAGAAAATAGCCCAAATCAGCACCAGCCCAAATCAACAAACCCAAAGGATTGGGGTTGCCCAACAAAAACCACCAGCAACAATGCCCAACAAAAGAAAGAAGAAAAGTCAAATTAGCAGCGCAACAGAGAGAAGCCCAAATCCTAAATCAAATAGCCAAAAGCCCAATAGTCCAAAATAGGTGCAAACTCAAAGTTCTGTTCTTAAACTCAAAATAAGANGCCCAAATCAGCACCAGCCCAAATCAACAAACCCAAAGGATTGGAGTTGCCCAACAAAAACCACCAGCAACAATACCCAACAAAAGAAAGAAGAAAAGTCAAATTAGCAGCGCAACAGAGAGAAGCCCAAATCCTAAATCAAATAGTCAAAAACCCAATAGTCCAAAATAGGTGCAAACTCAAAGTTCTGTTCTTAAACTCAAAATAAGACCCAAAGAGAATACCGGCAAAACCAAGAGCAAAAACTAGAACCAAAAGAAGCAGCTAACGCCAAACAATCGAAAGTTCGCCACAAATCAACTCAACAGCTTTGTAAATCANGACCCAAAGAGAATACCGGCAAAACCAAGAGCAAAAACTAGAACCAAAAGAAGCAGCTAACGCCAAACAATCGAAAGTTCGCCACAAATCAACTCAACAGCTTTGTAAATCAAATACTCATAACAAATTGAGGTTTCTTACACAACAATACAACAAAAATGGCACTAAAAATCGAGTTCGGCATTGTTCACACAGAATGAACAGTAACTTCGGTACTGTTCACATCGCGTAAAAAGTATTTTCAGCACTGTTCACAGCCCATAGAACCACAAAAAGTCAGCAACCCACCAATCACTAGCCCTCAAATCACACAAACCAGCACCAAGAACCTTTAGTCGCACTACTTAGGCTTGATATGAAGTAAAGAAGTTGAAGAAAATAGCAAAAAAATAAATCACCATAGATAATGTCAGCCCTAATCCAAGAATATATTTTTTCTCCAACTAAATTACTATGGTGCTACAATTAGGAGTGTCAAACGTGTCGGTTAAACGAGTGACGGAAGAAAAACATGTAAACCCATACATGACCCGTTTAATAAACGGGTGAAAAAACTCAACACAAACACAAACTATTTAATAAACAGATAACACGACATGACTCGTTTAACCCGTTTAATTTTCATAAAATTATTCTATTAAAATTTTAACCCACACCAATAAACTATTCTATTAAAATTTTAAACTCCATTAATTACCCACAACAATTGTACTCTCTTAAATAAAAGATTTCCAGTTGGGTGGCACTTACAAAAGTAAGTGAGAAGGTTGAATGACTAAAAAAAGGGGCTACAACCTTTTATAGGCATGGGAGGTCTCCTTCATTTGAATTTGTCGATGTGGGATTCAAGTCAACAACTTTCACTATATGTTTACTGTGCAAACCCACAAGAAGACTTTATAATCTGTTCTAAGTCTGTCAAAGTCCGACACAATACGATTAACTGACACGTATCGACACGAATTAAGCGGGTTTGGGTGGTAAACGGGTTGACCCATTAGACACGTTTAATAAACGGGTCGTATTCAAGTGAGACCTATTAACCAGTTTATCACCCGTTTACCATCTTAAAAAAATTAATATAATAATAAATTAACAATTATTTTTAAAAAAGTAGTCAGAATTAAAATATTATATACAAACAAGAAACCAAACTACTGGGTGAATGACAGTCCAACCATTAAGTACAGATTCTTCACTTATAACCCTTTGCAATGCTTGATGTGGAAACAGAATACAAAGT